CACTGCACTATTTTTTGAGACTGAGTCTCACTCTTGTCACCCTTAGTGGAGTGGAGTGGTATCATCATAGCTCACTGCAACCTCCAACTCCTAGGCTCAAGTGATCCTCCTGCTCCTGACTCAGCCAATTGAGTAGCTGGGACTATAGGTGTACACCACAACACCCAGTTAATTTTTCTTTTTTGGTAGAGATGGGGTCTTACTCTTGCTCAAACTGGTCTGGAACTTGTGAGCTCAAGTGATCCTCCCACTTTGGCCTCCCAGAGGGCTAGGATTACAGGCGTGAGCCACCACACCCAACCTCTCAATTTATTATGGCTTAAATTTAACTCTATAAGCCTTAGTCCTTGTTATTGCAAACCAAGGAGTGTATTCAAAATAATTAAGAAGCTATGATGGATGCTCAGCACCTATAGCACAGTGGTTACGGCGCCAGCCACATGCATCAAGGGTGACGGGTTCGAACCCTGCCCAGGCCACTAAACAATGACAACTACAACAAAAAAATCGCTGGGCATTGTGGCAGGTGCCTGTAGTCCTAGCTACTTGGGAGGCTGAGGCAAGAGAATCGCTTAAGCCCAAGAGTTGGTGGTTGCTGTGAGCTGTGATACCATATTACTCTACCAAGGGTAATCTAGTGAGACTCTGTCTCAAAAAAATAAAAAGAAGCTATGATGGCAGCACCCGTAGCTCAGTGGGTAGGGTGCCGGCCACATACACTGAGGCTGGTGGGTTGAACCTGGCCCAGGCCAGCTAAAACAACAATGACAACCGCAACAACAACAACAACAATAGCTGGGTGTTGTAGCGGGCGTCTGTAGTCCCAGCTACTCAGGAGGCTGAGGCAAGAGAATCACTTAAGTCCAAAAGTTTGAGGTTGCGTGAGCTGTAACACCATGGCAACTCTACCCAGGGAGACAGCTTGAGAGTCTATCTCAAAAAAGAAAAAACAAAAGAAGAAGCTATGGCGTCTTTATTAAGATAGTGTTTTGAGTTTGCTCTAGAGATGCAAAGCTGATAGGAGACTAACACTAATGATACTTTGAGCTTAAAATGCACAAATAGCTCACTCTATCAGCATCATGTTGGGTGTGAGAAATTTATACTATGTTTTGAACTTGTATTACCCTCAAAATACAAAACAAAACTCAGCTTCTCAACAGATTAATCTCAGCTATAGGACTCTAGAAAAATAACAGTCATGAATTACAATTTGTTACAGATGCATAAGAGCTTTTAAAAAGCAGAGACTACCAGACTAACTTTAAAAAAAAAACACCTATAAACTCAGCCTGAACAAGGGTGAGACCCACGTTTCTACTAAAAGTAGAAAAAAAATAGCCATTTATTATGGCAAGTGGCTGTAGTCTCAGCTACTGGGGAGACTGAGGCAGGAGGGTCACTTCAGCCCAGGAGTTTGATGTTGCTGTGAGCTAGACTGACACCATAGCACTCTAGCCTGGGTAACAGAGTAAGACTCTGTCTCAAAATTAAGCAAAATAAAATGAAAACCTAGACAATCAATTGAAAACACTGAAAATAAAATTATAGAAAAGATGTATCAGACAAACGCCAACTCCTAAAATAGCTCATATCGTAATGTTAATACATAAACATTTCCTAAGGCAAAATAAATAAACAGAATGATAAGGAAGGAAAATAATTTCCCAAGAATATCAAATTCCTGAACACACACACACACACCGTTAAAAAATGTAAATTATATACAGGTTAGTATATGTTTCTAATTTCATATTTTTATAAGTATAGAATTTATATTTTATAATTATATGCCTATAGAGAGCTTTCAAATATGACTTTGAAATGTTAATTTAAAAGTCATAATTATATAGATAGATAAGATCCCCAATCACTGATTTCAACACTTCCATCAGAAATGATATATCTAAAAAATTAGTGAGAATACAGAACAAAGAACACAACGTTTAAAATCTTGATCTAAAGATATATGCAGACTCTCCACGCAGCAAACAGGGATTTTCAGAGTGAACACATTACATAGAGGGTAAAGGATGGGCTCAGAGGGACTCAGCTCCAATCCCGGCTCTGCCACTAACCGGCCAGCAAGCCTTGTGCAAGTTACTTGATTGCTTACATCTGTTTCTCCCTCTATAAAATAGTTATTAATCAAAAAATTTAAAAATCTATCTGTATAACTGTGTAAGAAAATAAAAGCATTCGGAGTCCCGAGCATAGGAGGGGCTGTGTCTCTGTCCCAGAAAGGCTGTGTCTTCTACCAACATCCACGAAACCCCAACAGGCTAATTTATTAGCTCTGAGTGGGGTAAAAAGAAATCTCAGAACCAGCTATAAATATACGTATATATTTTCTTTCTTTCTTTTTAGAGACTGAGTCTCATTCTGTTGCCCAGGCTGTAATGCAGTGACACTGTAACCACAAACTCCTGGGCACAGGCAATCCTCCTACCTCAACCCCATACCACCATACTCAGCTAACTTAAATTTTTTGTAGAGATAGGGTGCCTCTGTGTTGCCACACCTGGTCTTTTACACCTGGCCTCAAGTGATCCTCCTGCCTTAGCCTCCCGAAGTGCTAGGTTTACAAGTGTGAGTCACTAAGCCCAGCCAGAACCAGAAACATTTAAACAAGTATTCTGGAGTCCTTTTTAAAAAAAAAAAAAAAAAAAAAAA